AAGAATGTTGTGAAGCTCTTAGGCTTATGTTTGGAGACCAAAGTTCCATTGTTGGTTTATGAGTTCATTTCAAAAGGAACCCTCTACCATCATATCCATGACAAGCGATCACATGTTTTAAGGTCATGGAAGAATCGTCTGAGGATCGCGGCAGAGACTGCACTTGCACTTGACTATTTGCATTCTTTAGCAGACCCACCAATCATTCATGGTGATGTGAAGTCAATGAACATATTGTTGGACGATCATTACACAGCCAAAGTATCTGATTTTGGGGCTTCTGTACTCATCTCACCAAACCAAACTGGAATAGGCTCCAAAATACAAGGAACACTTGGGTATTTGGATCCAGAGTACCTAATGACTGGTAATTTGACAGCAAAGAGTGATGTTTATAGCTTTGGAGTCGTCTTGGTGGAGCTGTTGACTGGGGAGAAGCCTGCTTCAGGTGTTAGAGATGGGGAGAAGAGAAACATCATTCAGTATTTCATTTTATGTGTTGAAGATGGTCGTATTGCCCAAGTTTTGAATTTTGAGCCAGCCGATGATGGGGAAATGGAGGAAGTAGAAGCAGTTGCTGACCTTGTGAAGAGATGCCTCAATGGGAGTGGCCTAAGAAGGCCAACCATGAAGGAAGTTGCCGAGGAGCTTGCAAGGCTAAAAAAGCTTAGTGATAACTTCTGGGCTCAAGGGGAAAATGGAGAAACTGAGTGCTTGCTTGGAGAATCCTCATCATATACTTACGAATCTTTAAATGCCAAGATGGAACAAATGGAGACCTATACTGTGCACACAACATTTGACATTGAACAGGCATCAACTCTTGGCATCTAGTCTTTCTTGCTACTATAATCTTCCATATATATGTGATTAGTTACAATAATTTCCTAACATATGCTGAGCATTTGTGAAGGCTTTCCTTGCTACTTGGTTCTTGGTTCTCTATGTTTATACAAGATAAGTGTTGTATTTGCTAAATTTGATTTAAGTGGGTCAAAAAGTTAATAAAATATGATTTTTCTGGACTTAATGCGTATAATACTAGTTGCCTCTTTCTGTTTGCATAGAAAGGGCAAATAATGTGAAGAAAGTAGAAGCAGTTGCTGATCTTGTAAAGAGATGCCTTAATGATACTGGCCTAAGAAGGCCAACCATGAAGGAAGTTGCCAAGGAGCTTGGTAGGCTGAAAAGGCTTGGTGACAACTTTTGGGCTGAGCAAGAGAATGAAGAGACCGAGTGCTTATTAGGGAGAATCCTCATCATATACTTCTTATGAATTTTCAAATACCAAGATGGAGCAAAAGGAGACCTATACCTTTCACACAATCTTTGAAATTTATCAAGCGTACATCAACTGTTGGTGTCTAGCTAGCCCTTCCATCTACCGAGAAGTTACAGCATTTGCCTCAAAAATGCTAAGCATTTGCCTCAAAAATGCTAAGCATTTGCCTCAAAAATGCTAAGCATTTGCCTCAAAAATGCTAAGCATTTGTGAAGCCTTTCCTTACCACTTAGTTCTTTTGGTTCTTTATGTATTCATATGATAAGTGTGGTAATTGCTAAATAAGTATGATGTACGCAG